AACGATCATTCATGCAATCTACTTGAAATCAGATCTTGGACCACTAAAGTGGAGTGCCCGTCAACAAACATCGTCCGATCTAGATGGTGGTTGGAGGTAGTCAACAAGAAACCCTGGACCCGGGTTTCGTCCTTCTTGGCACTCGTCAGCATGGTGTACCTGTAATCTTGGGGGGACTGGTGCTGCCCGACGGATTCGATCCCGTATCACTCAGCTTCACAGTCAGAGACGTTACTACTGAGCTATCCGGTCCGCGACCGACCTCCTGTAGGACTGAGATGTAATCACAATTGATTGATCACTGGGTGGTGATCAATGTCATGCTTGTCTAGTCCTTATTATTAGTGCAGATCGAATGCTATCGATCATGTTGCAATGTGGCCACCAGTCTAAGTGACTCGACACTGCGGGCACTATTGTAAGATTAGATGGTGGTTGGAAGTAGTCAACAGGAAACCCTGGACACGAACTAGACAAGCATGACATTGATCACCACTCAGTGATCAATCAATTGTGATCGTCCGATCAAAGTGACGACAAAATAATAGGCCCCACAATAGTGGATGATTTGTATTATCAAAATATGTGCACTATATGCTTTAAATATATACTGTTCTTCCTTTAAATGTCGGAGTCCCTGAGAAGATTGTCAACATTATTCGGAACTCATACGATGGACTACAGTGCAAAGTAGTGCATGGAGGACAGCTGACAGACGCATTCCAAGTAAGGACCGGAGTAAGACAAGGCTGTCTACTCTCTCCCTTCCTGTTTCTTCTGGTGGTCGACTGGATTATGAAGACCTCGAAATCTGAGGGAAACTACGGCATACGATGGACAGCTCAGAACCACTTAGATGACTTGGACTTCGCAGATGACCTAGCCCTCCTATCACATACACACGAACAAATGCAGACAAAGACAGCCAACATAGCAGCAGACTCTGCATCAGTAGGCCTCAACATACACAAAGGGAAAACCAAGGTCCTCAAACACAACACGGAGAACAGCAATCCAATCACTCTTGATGGCGAAACTCTGGAAGACGTGGAATCCTTCACATACCTGGGAAGCATCGTCGATAAACAAGGAGGTTCAGATGCAGACGTCAAGGCGAGGATTGGCAAAGCTAGAGCGGTATTCCTTCAACTGAAGAACATATGGAACTCAAAACAACTTTCAACCAATATCAAAGTCAGAATCTTCAATACCAACGTCAAGGCAGTGCTACTGTACGGAGCTGAAACTTGGAGAACTACAACAACCACCATCAAGAAGGTACAGGTATTTATTAATAGCTGTCTACGCATGATACTCAACATCCATTGGCCGGATACCATCAGCAACAGCCTTTTGTGGGAGAGAACCAACCAGCTTCCAGCTGAAGAGGAAATTAGGAAAAGACGATGGAAATGGATAGGACATACATTGAGGAAATCATCAAACTGCATTACGAGACAAGCGCTAACTTGGAATCCTGAAGGGAAGCGGAAAAGAGGAAGGCCAAAGAACACATTACGTCGGGAAATAGAAGCAGATATGAAAAAGATTAATAAGAACTGGAAAGAGCTTGAAAGGATTGCCCAGGACAGGGTTGGATGGGGAGTGCTGGTGAGCGGCCTATACTCCTTCACGAGGAGTAACAGGCGTAAGTAAGTAAGTCCTTTAAATGTGCAAAAGTATAGAATGCTGAGGAATAAACCATCCCTAACCATAACCACGTTCAAACTTGGATCTAAACTAACGACAGTGTAACAATTAGAGCTTATCATTCAGAAAATGATAATCATTACACAAATTATTGATTCTTATATCCATCGTAAAACAATAATAAGAACCGATTAAATCATCTTTAAAATGATGAATATTGTTGAACATCGGAAGTTTGTAATGTACAAAGGAGGAAATTGTGAAAAAATTGTTCATTAATAAGTGAATAGGTGTAAACAATTAATTGAAACTATTTTGATCCCGTTTATAATAGATCAAGTTTCAAAAATTCGTCTTTAACAAAAGGTGACCTATTTGAATATCTGGGCTACCTGTTCCTACCATCTAAATATTTCAACAAGTTATCTATTTCCTTCTTTGCTTCACCAGATCATCATGTCAATTAATTGTATAATCTATTCAGGTGTATTTGTGAAAAGTTTACAACCTTTCTCTATACAAGTTACATAAAAGTACAATCAGAGATATTATGGTGGAGGCCAATATACATTGAAAAGAATGAATATTATGCAGATATCAATTGGCTGGACTGCTAACTTCCAACTGGCGATCAATCAGTTTTTATCGTCAGGATCAATCAAGAAATAAGAAAAGGAAGGTTGTATCTCCTCATTTCTGCAGCAATTTGGAAGACTCTCTCAGTCTTCCACATTGTACGAGCACTCCATGTACCTCAATAAATGGTTGCTATGGTTGTCAGAAGGGGCATCGGCCTCGTGACTTCTGAAGGAACTCGGCTTTCACCATGAGGCGTCATAACTCTTCTGAATAAAGACCTTCTGACTCTCAGGGCAGAGTTTAAATGGTTTGAATAATTTTTTCTGGTTAGCGTTTTTTAGCGAGTTAGTTTTCTACGGGATGGGGTCGCTAACCCCATGCCCAACCCTCCTCCTTTATCCGGGCTTGGGACCGGCAGTAGCTCCTGGAGGGACTACAGGCGGGGTTAAGAAAAGGAAACTTGTTGAGATACTTTGTGCTGAGAATTCTATATTGTACAAAAAATATAATATTGAATAAAGCTAATAGTAACAATAGTTATAATAACAATAGGAATAGGGATAATCATAGTAGCAATAACAATAATAATATTAATGGCAATAACAATAGTCATAGTAGTAGTGTAGTGAAAGCGAACACAAATAGGGACAATCGAGTGTACTTAACAACAAATTACAGAATTAGTTAGTAAAATCTAACAACTATATATTAAATGCTCAATTTGCAAAATGTCCATGAATTGTTTCAAATGAGTGAGAATTCTTTTGTTCTTGCATTTTCATACAAATTGCATTCTGTCTTCATTCTTTACTGTTCGATCTTCTCGTCTCTTTGCTGCCAGACATTCTATTCACGACTCACGTCATATACTACTTATGTCTGCATAAGTAGCACACACCACAGTAGTAGTGTGGTGTGTGCCACTTATATTGACATAAGTAGTTTGTAACGATAATCAGTATTAAAATGTTTGGTAGCAGAAGGTCGAGAAGGAAAGAACGGGAACAGAAAACAATTGGTATGAAAATGCAGAAGCAATCAAGTCTTAGACGATTGACTGATATTTTCAAAAGGAACAGTCAAATTTAAGGCAAATGATTGATATTTTGCAAATGAAGTATTTACTGTATGGTTCTCAGTTTTACTAAGATGCGCTGCAATTTCGTGTCCAAATACATTCGATCATCAGTATAGGGTTGTGGAGATTATTAAGTTTTTGATTAAGATCATGAACCGGTTGATGTAAGACCACCATTGAAACCCTAGAAGCATTGCATGGCCGATTCGTCCTATTATGAAACTCCTCAGCAGCGTGCAATCACGATCCCACTCATGGAGTTCGAACCCAGGACCTTCGGTCTTGCTCTTGAACGCCTAACCTCTAGACCACTGAATCGGCACCCAACAGTGTTAATGTCTAACCTTAACCAATCCACAAAATGTAAATACCTGTCTCTATCTGGCAACAGATTAGCTCCACTGATCACGGCGGCCTGCTAGAATATATGGGCTACCTGTTCCTACCATCTGGATATTTCAACAAGTTATCTGGTTTCTTGTTTGTTTTAACACATCATTATGCCTATTAGTCTCATATCCTATCCAGGTGCGTTTGTGAAAAGTTTACGACATTTCTCTGTACAAGTTACAAAAGAGCTCAATTAGAGACATCATGGTTACTGGCAATATGCATCGAAAAGGATATACATTTATCAGATGTCGATTCCTGAACCGCTAACATCTAACTGGCGACCACTCAATATTTATCAAGAAATAAGAAAGGGAAACTTGTTGAAATACTTTGTGCTGAGAATTTTATATTGTACCAAAAATATAATATTGAATAAAGCCATTAATAATAATAATAATAATATTAACAATAATAGAACTCCGAGAATTCCCTCACGAGGCTGTTCGATAGTGAGCATATGGTAATTATTAATATAGGGTTGTGGAGATTTTAAAGTTTTTGATTGAGATCATGAAACGATTGATGAAAAGGCCATCAAATGCTTCCAGGTTTACAATCGTGATCTAACATCAATCGTATCATAATCTCAATCAAAAACGTCCGATTATCCCCGCTTGTGTTTCCGTTCACTACAGTAGCATTATTGATAATAATAATATTAGCAGTAATACTGTAATGAACAAGAACACGAATGGGGACAATCGATTATATTTGACACGAAATTACAGAACATCTCACTAAAATCTGAGAACCATATTGTAAATCGTTAATTTTCAAAATATCAATCCATCATCTCAAACTTCACTGTTCCTTTTGCAAATATCAGTCCATTGTCTCAGACTTCATTGTCCATACATTTTCATACCAACCTCATTCCGTTCCCGTTCATTCCTTATCGATCTTCTACTGAAATACATTCTATTGCTGACTATCGTTATATACTACTTATGTGGATATAAGTAACTCACACTACAATACTAATAATAGTAATAGTAATCATACTAAATATAACAGTCCATTATAAAAATGAATTCGTCTCAAATTAAATAAGATGATAATAAGAATCAATGTAAATATGAACTAACATTCATTCATTCATTCATTCTTATTAAAACAATAATATTTATTTATGTTTAATTATACATAATATAAATATCATATTTCAATGTACTCAATATGAATTTACTTTACATATGTATTCAATATAATTAACCCTATAAATACCTTAGTAATTTATTTGTTACATAGTACTTCATTATGTTGACTAAATTCATATTGATTTTTATATTTTTGTTCATAGGAATTGTTACATTTGACAGTTGTCAAGGTAAGTAAAACACTATTGATACATTGAAAAATTTTATACAACCGTCTAGTGCTTCCAGGTTTTCTATGGTGGTCTAGTTTCAACTGACTCATGAATTCATTCATTGAAATTACTATAATATCTACAAAAACCCTTTCTGATATTGACAAATATATTATACTTTATCTAGTATTTATCAATTAGAGAACAATCAAGATGATGAGATCAAAATGAAACATTCATAATGATTATGAATTATTAAATAGACTTTAAATACAAAATATAATGATATACTGACACTAAGGTGTAGGTTACTTATATTTATATAAGTAGTATATAACGGTGGTCGGGGATAGAATATATTTCAGTAAATGATAGAGAAGGAAAGGAAGAAAACGGAATGCAATTGAGATGAAAATGAATGAATAATGAAATCTGAGACAATAGACTGATATTTACAAAAGGAACAGTGATATTTGAGACGATGGATTGATACTTTGCAAATTAACCATTTACTATATGGTTCTCAGATTTTAATAAGATTCTCTGTAATTTCGTGTCAGATACATTCGATTGTCCCCTAATCTCCTTCGCTACAACACAGTTAGGTATCATTTCAATGCCTATAAAGTTCTTAGTACTATGTAGGTTGAGGTTTATTAATAATACTCCTACCGTTATAGAATGGTTATAAAATTGTTGCAGTGGAATACAGGACGCAAGTTCCAGAGTGGACATCAACTGTGAGATGAAAGTACATCCAACTGACGATTCCCAAATAGGACAAAATACGTGTCCTGAATTCCACAGCTAGCTACCAACCATCTTTGCTTATAATGCTTGTAAATTAAGGCAATATCGAGGCAATCCGTACAGTATGCACATCTGCCAGTAAGAAACTGATCAATTGAAGTTCTGAACATTAATGCGATGATTCAATCAACCAATACAAAATGAATTTGAACTTCACTCCGTTGCATAAGCTAGTGGCTATGAGGACTCAGTAGTTAAGTGGATAATAAGATGGTATTTGAGGCGAACGGTACTGGGTTCAAGTCTCAAAGTGAACATGAACTCCGGGATGCAGGTACATTCATGTGATGAGTTCTAAATAAGACAAAACGCGCGTCTTGGATTCTACTGCTAGCCACTATCCATCCTTGCTTATTATGTTTATGAATATTGTATTTGTTATATGAAAATTTACAAATGTACTAACTTCTTATTGACAACTATTTTGTTTTTCATATGATATTGAAATACATTTGTAATTTACATGCTTTTTTATGTGTAGGTCAAAGAGATGCACCGAGGTATTTCCAGTGAGTAGAATGTTTGGATTCTATTTACTTAAATGATTTATTGAAATTTCGTCCTTAAATGATTGTTATTATACGTTAATATCTACCCATCTTATCAAATAGGTGTCTTGATTAAAGCTTTTTCTTTTGTGATTCATATTAGAATCAGCTTGATGATAGAACAAACATATTCAGTATGTGATTGAGATCATGAACCGATTGATGTTAGAACACCACTGAAAACGTGGAAGCACCTCTAGACCACTGAGCCTGCATCCGATGGTGCTAATGTCTAACCCTAACTAATCCACCGACTTGCGAGACCATCTTCTATTGTACTGAGGTAGATGCCTGTCTATACCCGACACTGATTAATTAGTAATCAGTACTGAATAAATAGATAGCTCAACATTTAAGTGTAGGATACATGGTTCATGGGTTAAAAAATATAACTCTAAATATGTATGACTGTAGTTTAAGTATTAAGTCAAATGAACTTGCTTGTTATTTATATTTGATAGTCATTAAAAAAAGAATTTAAACATACACACACACACAAAACTACAAATCTTCTCCACCATCTCAAAACACACATTGTGTACTCCAGTGAATAAGGGTAATTGAAATGATTGTATAATAAAAGGAAGCTTTCTTTTCTAAACAATTAGAGATTATATTTAACATATGACTGGTAGTAGAGTCCAAGACAAAATTTTTGGTCCTATTTTAAAACTCGTTAGCCGGATGTACTTGAATTTCAGTGTTCATTTATTAGCTTAGACTATTCAAACCATTGATTTTTAAACAGATCACAACGCTCATAATACCTTTCACGAATAGCAACATATCCACAAAAACCCCTTTCTGATATTAATCAGCATATACTCATTAGTGACTGGCTTCAAAAGGTATTTCCTAGAGTTCTAGTGAGAAGCTGTGATCAGTGGTGTTCAACCATATCTGTTGTGAGATATTAACTCACTAAAGACAATGGTGGACATGTGGCTCAATTTGGTGGATTAAGTGATTTTGCGCGAGGCCGATAGGTCCTGGGTTCAAATCCCGTGAGGCAGGATCATGGATGCGCAATGCTGAGGTGTCCCACAATAGGACGAAACGGCCATCCAGTGCTTCCAGGTATTCCATGGTGGTCCAGCTTCTGTTGACTCATGATCTCAACTATTAAATTACAGTACAGTTTAAATCACATTAGAAACTTCAAGAAAAGCATCATGACTGTTTAAAGTATAACTTTTGGTTTTATAAATTATTTAATTTTTATTTAAAGTAGCACCAACTCTACTGTCAAACAGTAAGTTAGAAATATTAATAACTGAATCATTCCATTGAATTCTTTATTCTAAATAGTCAGTATATTTTATTTAGTTATACTAACTTTTCTACAATCCATTTCGATTATGGTTAAATGTTGGTTAAGCCCTTTTATCAACTTATTGAACAGACCATGTTATTCGAACAGTAACAATTTGTTTATTTCTCCGTACTACTATAATGACTATCTTGTCTGCAGAAACGTGTACTGTTGATCACATGGCAGACTCTAGCTAAAATGTGGATAGTTTATATAATGTTCGATCAATCATATTCTTATTCCCATGTGTAATATATGTATCCCTGTATCTTATTAATAGCCTTTACTTTGTTTTGCTGTGACCTTATTCGATTTGACTATAAGTTTGCCTCTGTATTTGCTCGCATATACACACACATTCACCTCTCTGCTTCAAATTCGCTTGATGTGCTTATAGCTTTGTGATTTGTCCTATTCGCTAGTAAATTGTAGTCGCCTCTTCTTATTGCCGATTTCTGATTTCGAACACCGTTGGAATCTATGTAACAACGATTACAAATGTGATTGATTATAATTGAATTAGCTAGAATGTAACAAGTGATCATTGGAATGTTAGGTAACACAAGAGGGAACCAATAATATATATATTATACCCCAATGGGGAGAAATTATATTCCTGACGTTTCGTAACTTGATGCAAGTCAATTCGTTTGAGCATAAACGATACAATCTTAACATCACCGTAACAATTATATGTTTCCTACTGAAGAAATGTAAATAAATGTATTTACGAACAATGTGAAAGAAGACTCATGAGAACTTTACAGATCATATTATAAATACATTTGAAAAACATGAAGAAAACTTACATTATCGAATAAATAAACATCGAAGGACAAGATTGATCATTCAATGAACTACGGATCATTGGCATATGATTAATAACCAATCAGCATACCAATATTGAACCATACGCTTATCATGAATACATTACATGAAATAATTCACATTGATCGTTAACTTGTTCATTTTAGCCCGAATACACATGATGTGCAAAAGACGTAAGTACTGAAAATTGACACCTTCAAACAATTATTGATACAAATTAAAGGAAATGAAATGATAATTTATAAGTAGTATAAAAAATAACGAAGAAAATCACGAATAAAATAAAGCAAAAATAACTTCAAAAATAATAAACACATGATAAAAATGATAGCGAATATTAAGTAAATAACTAAGCAACATTTGAAAGTTCCACTCACAAACAACAATCTCATGTGCCTCATAGAGATTTCCGAATTCTCGTTCAACTGATCACATCTGCAGTAACAAGTTGACTGCAATCACACGCATCACATTGTAACTCATTCTAAATATTTTTGATCACTACTATTGCTATTATCACTGTCATTACCCTTATTATTCTACAAACTGTTTGATTAATGGAACATACTCACCAATTTCAATACACACACTTCATTTAGGACTCACCACACCGCAACAACAGCAGCTGCAAAAATAACTGCAAGGTAAGTAAAATGCATTCATCATCACATGTATCACAAATATGACAGTCTTCTATTTCCATTCACAACAATAAACATTACTAAGTAATCAGTGTAGTTGAATCAATAAGAATTATCATGTCACACATTTTACACGATGAATACGATGAATCCACGAACTGGAAACGTTCAATTGACAACTATATGTATTAATCACCAAGGGCTCGGTGTGAAACTATCACCAGTTCACTTTATCTGCGAACGAGAACAAAGACTCGTCGACCAAAGTCCAGTAAGCTAGCTATTTATTGTGTCCCAGCCCTGCTAACTAGAGGAAGAATTGCAAGCTTGGCATGGGGAAGTATATTCTGCAAACAGCCAGAAACGAGCGATAACAACAAACACGATTCAAAACGTATGTATACAGTACGAAATCATCCTTGGGGAGAGTTACCAAATAGCATGCCAAACGACGCAACTGACGAATAGCAGTTAAGATATTTCCCAGTGGGAAATATGATATGAAGGTGACAAGTGCACTTTTGGCGCGAAAACAAGGAAATCCAAATTTTCCAAATGAAATTACAAAATTAGGTCGTTTAGCAAGTTAGTTCTGGGGATCTACGTCCCAAACACCAAGGTCCTCATGTCTGACAAACGAACACATTGCGGAATATTGTTGTTAGATTTTAACAGAACGAGTGTTGATTATCAGATACCTGGAAACTGACACACATACAGACAAACAAACAAAATTAGTCCACACTACACCATCATTCATCATCAACAATCTAACACAATTCACAATGATGTTCATTCACTTGATTCATAAGTGGTCAAGTCGTCAATTCCTCAGACGACTCTATACAACACATATTAATACTATGAATGCATAACATGCAGACCATTATTTTCATGAAGTATTACGCGTTTTCGTTTAGGCATCACCCTGTAACCACAACTCCAAGGTAAGTACACAGTTCTACATGTAATAACATGATGGTTTACTGTTCCATTTCTACTCAAACAACCACCAATCAAACAATGTGGTTACATGAACAATAATTGATATGTTGAGAATAAGATATTGGTGATTCAGAACTAGCTGTTCGAATTGTAACTGTGTTCAATAAACCATAAGAATTTGCAATTCTGAACATCACACAGATAAGAGGTGATGTGTCAATGAGTGATGTGTCAGTGAATCAGTGTCACTTAACAGTCAACTATCAACAATGAACATAATTTTGATTGAGTTTTGTTCTCTGAGCAGGATAGTTTGGCTGTGTAGCTATCAACGTTCTTCTGAACGACGTGATCAGTACAAAATCCGAACACTTCATTTCCAGCTGACGTTTGTGTAGATGATGTCGATCAGCAGAACGACGAGGCTTCACGACTAAACCATCCAGCTCAGAGAACAAAACTCCATCAAAATCATTCACCTGACCTACAAATCTTCTCCACCATCACAATGAGCACAATTTCATTCATGCATTCATTTAATTCGTCTCGGAATAACTAGCTAACTAACTAACTAACTTCATTCACACAGACAGACGTGTCATTTCGATTGATGATTAGAGTTTGTCACATCAATACCTCTTGATTCTCACTAAACTGGCTAAGTTACGACGTCATCAAACCACTGATTGATTGGTGTGAATGTGAGAATTTTCTCAACTATCTCTTATCACTAGCATGTACCTGTGTTTCAATCACCAATGTAATCAATCCAATATCAGGAACGGATTTCCTCAACATTATCATTCCGATTCAACCATCTGACAAAATCCACAATCACCTACAATCACCCTATTCTATAGTATTTGCCACATCAAAAATTCCTACATCTTTATCGTCCTATCTATACTAACATCGTGAATACAAAACATCACACTGATTCCCAACATTCAATCGACTATTGTAGAAATCATCTCAATTTCCAACAACTAAATAATATTCTAAGATGTCGAATAGGTGGTTGCAACCACATTTTGTGGTTTATTTTTGCAACAACATTTGATCGTTACTCATTGAGTTGTTCACATTGAACACTGTGTTTTTAATATTCACTTATTTGTTGTCCCTGTCACATGTTGAACCATCATTTTTCTGAATTTTAACACATTTCATTCAGACATCACACTACGCCGAAAACTGCACAGTGAGTAGTTCATATTTACCTGTATTTATTTACACAAACACAACCAGGGTCGACGTTCTTATAGACAGTAGAATGTCGATCAGTCAGTGTGCTTCACTTGTTCGCCGTGCTTTCGTCGTTGTAATGTTGTATTGTGAAAGAGATATTTGTCAATTGGACATGCTCACAGTTCAACCAAACGTACAATTGAACGTACATGAGGACGGTCTCGTAGCCATTAAACATACAAGTGGAAGCTGATGTGAAACATATGCTAAATAGTGCTTCTGAGATTTTCACCATTCACATTACTACTACTGACATTGGATCACGACTGAATTCAACATGTGCACGAATGATAACATTGTTGAACGTGTAACACAACAGTACTAGTGATAGTGTATGCATCCAAGTTGCATTAGGCATGAGTAGGAAATGAGCTGGATAGTATTAGATATCATTTCGCATCATTCACCTCAAACCATCTCACACAATTCAGAGTGAATTTCCGGTCAAATCATTCATCCGTCACATCACAACTATTTCCATTGATAACACTGTTTTAATTGTGGTGAATTCACCATAGGATAGCATGAAATATTTCACGTTCACTGCTTACTCGTTCATTTCAGACACACTGCTCATCCCATACGAAAAACGTAAGCATTTCTAAATAACTTGTATGTGATATTTAGGTAGAATCTGTATTGACAGTTGTATATGTTTGGTCCACTCAATGTAACATCCCAGCTGATTGATTCCATTGTCCTCTCAATTCCACATATGTAATGTGTATGTGACAATTACTAATGATTTTCGTAGAATAACATGAGTTCATTCCACTGAATCATGTTATTTTCACCTGGTTACAATCCACATAGTGTCAATAGAAGATATGACACAAAAATCAGCACACACATATTCAAGTGAAATTGATCAAATGTGAATACAATTGAGTTTGCGTTGGAGCATTGTTTGTGATCAAGTGAATGTAGTTGAGAAATATAATAATGCTCCGAAATGAATTTAACGTGTGACAAAGAATCCTAGAACATGGAACCTAGCAAAGGAAGACCATATGAATGAACGATTGATTGACCAGGATTGAGCAGCATTGAAATCCTATAACAATTTGCCCCATATATCCTCAATCAAGTCGATCACTTCAAATAGACAGACGAAATTCGAATCACCGACCACTTTTTCAAAGATACTGGTCTCCAAATTCAAATATGCAACAAGTCATTTAATTGACTCAACTTGAAACTTCGTGCATAGTCTGCGATGTGTTGAAGACGTTGTGCTGATGAGAGGGTCCAAACAATCGACGAATCGTTCCACTCACAAACAACAATCTCATGTGCCTCATAGAGATTTCCGAATTCTCGTTCAACTGATCACATCTCGAATTCACCTGCCAGCACTATTCAATCTGCAGTAACAAGTTGACTGCAATCACACGCATCACATTGTAACTCATTCTAAATATTTTTGATCACTACTATTGCTATTATCACTGTCATTACCCTTATTATTCTACAAACTGTTTGATTAATGGAACATACTCACCAATTTCAATACACACACTTCATTTAGGACTCACCACACCGCAACAACAGCAGCTGCAAAAATAACTGCAAGGTAAGTAAAATGCATTCATCATCACATGTATCACAAATATGACAGTCTTCTATTTCCATTCACAACAATAAACATTACTAAGTAATCAGTGTAGTTGAATCAATAAGAATTATCATGTCACACATTTTACACGATGAATACGATGAATCCACGAACTGGAAACGTTCAATTGACAACTATATGTATTAATCACCAAGGGCTCGGTGTGAAACTATCACCAGTTCACTTTATCTGCGAACGAGAACAAAGACTCGTCGACCAAAGTCCAGTAAGCTAGCTATTTATTGTGTCCCAGCCCTGCTAACTAGAGGAAGAATTGCAAGCTTGGCATGGGGAAGTATATTCTGCAAACAGCCAGAAACGAGCGATAACAACAAACACGATTCAAAACGTATGTATACAGTACGAAATCATCCTTGGGGAGAGTTACCAAATAGCATGCCAAACGACGCAACTGACGAATAGCAGTTAAGATATTTCCCAGTGGGAAATATGATATGAAGGTGACAAGTGCACTTTTGGCGCGAAAACAAGGAAATCCAAATTTTCCAAATGAAATTACAAAATTAGGTCGTTTAGCAAGTTAGTTCTGGGGATCTACGTCCCAAACACCAAGGTCCTCATGTCTGACAAACGAACACATTGCGGAATATTGTTGTTAGATTTTAACAGAACGAGTGTTGATTATCAGATACCTGGAAACTGACACACATACAGACAAACAAACAAAATTAGTCCACACTACACCATCATTCATCATCAACAATCTAACACAATTCACAATGATGTTCATTCACTTGATTCATAAGTGGTCAAGTCGTCAATTCCTCAGACGACTCTATACAACACATATTAATACTATGAATGCATAACATGCAGACCATTATTTTCATGAAGTATTACGCGTTTTCGTTTAGGCATCACCCTGTAACCACAACTCCAAGGTAAGTACACAGTTCTACATGTAATAACATGATGGTTTACTGTTCCATTTCTACTCAAACAACCACCAATCAAACAATGTGGTTACATGAACAATAATTGATATGTTGAGAATAAGATATTGGTGATTCAGAACTAGCTGTTCGAATTGTAACTGTGTTCAATAAACCATAAGAATTTGCAATTCTGAACATCACACAGATAAGAGGTGATGTGTCAATGAGTGATGTGTCAGTGAATCAGTGTCACTTAACAGTCAACTATCAACAATGAACATAATTTTGATTGAGTTTTGTTCTCTGAGCAGGATAGTTTGGCTGTGTAGCTATCAACGTTCTTCTGAACGACGTGATCAGTACAAAATCCGAACACTTCATTTCCAGCTGACGTTTGTGTAGATGATGTCGATCAGCAGAACGACGAGGCTTCACGACTAAACCATCCAGCTCAGAGAACAAAACTCCATCAAAATCATTCACCTGACCTACAAATCTTCTCCACCATCACAATGAGCACAATTTCATTCATGCATTCATTTAATTCGTCTCGGAATAACTAGCTAACTAACTAACTAACTTCATTCACACAGACAGACGTGTCATTTCGATTGATGATTAGAGTTTGTCACATCAATACCTCTTGATTCTCACTAAACTGGCTAAGTTACGACGTCATCAAACCACTGATTGATTGGTGTGAATGTGAGAATTTTCTCAACTATCTCTTATCACTAGCATGTACCTGTGTTTCAATCACCAATGTAATCAATCCAATATCAGGAACGGATTTCCTCAACATTATCATTCCGATTCAACCATCTGACAAAATCCACAATCACCTACAATCACCCTATTCTATAGTATTTGCCACATCAAAAATTCCTACATCTTTATCGTCCTATCTATACTAACATCGTGAATACAAAACATCACACTGATTCCCAACATTCAATCGACTATTGTAGAAATCATCTCAATTTCCAACAACTAAATAATATTCTAAGATGTCGAATAGGTGGTTGCAACCACATTTTGTGGTTTATTTTTGCAACAACATTTGATCGTTACTCATTGAGTTGTTCACATTGAACACTGTGTTTTTAATATTCACTTATTTGTTGTCCCTGTCACATGTTGAACCATCATTTTTCTGAATTTTAACACATTTCATTCAGACATCACACTACGCCGAAAACTGCACAGTGAGTAGTTCATATTTACCTGTATTTATTTACACAAACACAACCAGGGTCGACGTTCTTATAGACAGTAGAATGTCGATCAGTCAGTGTGCTTCACTTGTTCGCCGTGCTTTCGTCGTTGTAATGTTGTATTGTGAAAGAGATATTTGTCAATTGGACATGCTCACAGTTCAACCAAACGTACAATTGAACGTACATGAGGACGGTCTCGTAGCCATTAAACATACAAGTGGAAGCTGATGTGAAACATATGCTAAATAGTGCTTCTGAGATTTTCACCATTCACATTACTACTACTGACATTGGATCACGACTGAATTCAACATGTGCACGAATGATAACATTGTTGAACGTGTAACACAACAGTACTAGTGATAGTGTATGCATCCAAGTTGCATTAGGCATGAGTAGGAAATGAGCTGGATAGTATTAGATATCATTTCGCATCATTCACCTCAAACCATCTCACACAATTCAGAGTGAATTTCCGGTCAAATCATTCATCCGTCACATCACAACTATTTCCATTGATAACACTGTTTTAATTGTGGTGAATTCACCATAGGATAGCATGAAATATTTCACGTTCACTGCTTACTCGTTCATTTCAGACACACTGCTCATCCCATACGAAAAACGTAAGCATTTCTAAATAACTTGTATGTGATATTTAGGTAGAATCTGTATTGACAGTTGTATATGTTTGGTCCACTCAATGTAACATCCCAGCTGATTGATTCCATTGTCCTCTCAATTCCACATATGTAATGTGTATGTGACAATTACTAATGATTTTCGTAGAATAACATGAGTTCATTCCACTGAATCATGTTATTTTCACCTGGTTACAATCCACATAGTGTCAATAGAAGATATGACACAAAAATCAGCACACACATATTCAAGTGAAATTGATCAAATGTGAATACAATTGAGTTTGCGTTGGAGCATTGTTTGTGATCAAGTGAATGTAGTTGAGAAATATAATAATGCTCCGAAATGAATTTAACGTGTGACAAAGAATCCTAGAACATGGAACCTAGCAAAGGAAGACCATATGAATGAACGATTGATTGACCAGGATTGAGCAGCATTGAAATCCTATAACAATTTGCCCCATATATCCTCAATCAAGTCGATCACTTCAAATAGACAGACGAAATTCGAATCACCGACCACTTTTTCAAAGATACTGGTCTCCAAATTCAAATATGCAACAAGTCATTTAATTGACTCAACTTGAAACTTCGTGCATAGTCTGCGATGTGTTGAAGACGTTGTGCTGATGAGAGGGTCCAAACAATCGACGAATCGTTCCACTCACAAACAACAATCTCATGTGCCTCATAGAGATTTCCGAATTCTCGTTCAACTGATCACATCTCGAATTCACCTGCCAGCACTATTCAATCTGCAGTAACAAGTTGACTGCAATCACACGCATCACATTGTAACTCATTCTAAATATTTTTGATCACTACTATTGCTATTATCACTGTCATTACCCTTATTATTCTACAAACTGTTTGATTAATGGAACATACTCACCAATTTCAATACACACACTTCATTTAGGACTCACCACACCGCAACAACAGCAGCTGCAAAAATAACTGCAAGGTAAGTAAAATGCATTCATCATCACATGTATCACAAATATGACAGTCTTCTATTTCCATTCACAACAATAAACATTACTAAGTAATCAGTGTAGTTGAATCAATAAGAATTATCATGTCACACATTTTACACGATGAATACGATGAATCCACGAACTGGAAACGTTCAATTGACAACTATATGTATTAATCACCAAGGGCTCGGTGTGAAACTATCACCAGTTCACTTTATCTGCGAACGAGAACAAAGACTCGTCGACCAAAGTCCAGTAAGCTAGCTATTTATTGTGTCCCAGCCCTGCTAACTAGAGGAAGAATTGCAAGCTTGGCATGGGGAAGTATATTCTGCAAACAGCCAGAAACGAGCGATAACAACAAACACGATTCAAAACGTATGTATACAGTACGAAATCATCCTTGGGGAGAGTTACCAAATAGCATGCCAAACGACGCAACTGACGAATAGCAGTTAAGATATTTCCCAGTGGGAAATATGATATGAAGGTGACAAGTGCACTTTTGGCGCGAAAACAAGGAAATTCAAATTTTCCAAATGAAATTACAAAATTAGGTCGTTTAGCAAGTTAGTTCTGGGGATCTACGTCCCAAACACCAAGGTCCTCATGTCTGACAAACGAACACATTGCGGAATATTGTTGTTAGATTTTAACAGAACGAGTGTTGATTATCAGATACCTGGAAACTGACACACATACAGACAAACAAACAAAATTAGTCCACACTACACCATCATTCATCATCAACAATCTAACACAATTCACAATGATGTTCATTCACTTGATTCATAAGTGGTCAAGTCGTCAATTCCTCAGACGACTCTATACAACACATATTAATACTATGAATGCATAACATGCAGACCATTATTTTCATGAAGTATTACGCGTTTTCGTTTAGGCATCACCCTGTAACCACAACTCCAAGGTAAGTACACAGTTCTACATGTAATAACATGATGGTTTACTGTTCCATTTCTACTCAAACAACCACCAATCAAACAATGTGGTTACATGAACAATAATTGATATGTTGAGAATAAGATATTGGTGATTCAGAACTAGCTGTTCGAATTGTAACTGTGTTCAATAAACCATAAGAATTTGCAATTCTGAACATCACACAGATAAGAGGTGATGTGTCAATGAGTGATGTGTCAGTGAATCAGTGTCACTTAACAGTCAACTATCAACAATGAACATAATTTTGATTGAGTTTTGTTCTCTGAGCAGGATAGTTTGGCTGTGTAGCTATCAACGTTCTTCTGAACGACGTGATCAGTACAAAATCCGAACACTTCATTTCCAGCTGACGTTTGTGTAGATGATGTCGATCAGCAGAACGACGAGGCTTCACGACTAAACCATCCAGCTCAGAGAACAAAACTCCATCAAAATCATTCACCTGACCTACAAATCTTCTCCACCATCACAATGAGCACAATTTCATTCATGCATTCATTTAATTCGTCTCGGAATAACTAGCTAACTAACTAACTAACTTCATTCACACAGACAGACGTGTCATTTCGATTGATGATTAGAGTTTGTCACATCAATACCTCTTGATTCTCACTAAACTGGCTAAGTTACGACGTCATCAAACCACTGATTGATTGGTGTGAATGTGAGAATTTTCTCAACTATCTCTTATCACTAGCATGTACCTGTGTTTCAATCACCAATGTAATCAATCCAATATCAGGAACGGATTTCCTCAACATTATCATTCCGATTCAACCATCTGACAAAATCCACAATCACCTACAATCACCCTATTCTATAGTATTTGCCACATCAAAAATTCCTACATCTTTATCGTCCTATCTATACTAACATCGTGAATACAAAACATCACACTGATTCCCAACATTCAATCGACTATTGTAGAAATCATCTCAATTTCCAACAACTAAATAATATTCTAAGATGTCGAATAGGTGGTTGCAACCACATTTTGTGGTTTATTTTTGCAACAACATTTGATCGTTACTCATTGAGTTGTTCACATTGAACACTGTGTTTTTAATATTCACTTATTTGTTGTCCCTGTCACATGTTGAACCATCATTTTTCTGAATTTTAACACATTTCATTCAGACATCACACTACGCCGAAAACTGCACAGTGAGTAGTTCATATTTACCTGTATTTATTTACACAAACACAACCAGGGTCGACGTTCTTATAGACAGTAGAATGTCGATCAGTCAGTGTGCTTCACTTGTTCGCCGTGCTTTCGTCGTTGTAATGTTGTATTGTGAAAGAGATATTTGTCAATTGGACATGCTCACAGTTCAACCAAACGTACAATTGAACGTACATGAGGACGGTCTCGTAGCCATTAAACATACAAGTGGAAGCTGATGTGAAACATATGCTAAATAGTGCTTCTGAGATTTTCACCATTCACATTACTACTACTGACATTGGATCACGACTGAATTCAACATGTGCACGAATGATAACATTGTTGAACGTGTAACACAACAGTACTAGTGATAGTGTATGCATCCAAGTTGCATTAGGCATGAGTAGGAAATGAGCTGGATAGTATTAGATATCATTTCGCATCATTCACCTCAAACCATCTCACACAATTCAGAGTGAATTTCCGGTCAAATCATTCATCCGTCACATCACAACTATTTCCATTGATAACACTGTTTTAATTGTGGTGAATTCACCATAGGATAGCATGAAATATTTCACGTTCACTGCTTACTCGTTCATTTCAGACACACTGCTCATCCCATACGAAAAACGTAAGCATTTCTAAATAACTTGTATGTGATATTTAGGTAGAATCTGTATTGACAGTTGTATATGTTTGGTCCACTCAATGTAACATCCCAGCTGATTGATTCCATTGTCCTCTCAATTCCACATATGTAATGTGTATGTGACAATTACTAATGATTTTCGTAGAATAACATGAGTTCATTCCACTGAATCATGTTATTTTCACCTGGTTACAATCCACATAGTGTCAATAGAAGATATGACACAAAAATCAGCACACACATATTCAAGTGAAATTGATCAAATGTGAATACAATTGAGTTTGCGTTGGAGCATTGTTTGTGATCAAGTGAATGTAGTTGAGAAATATAATAATGCTCCGAAATGAATTTAACGTGTGACAAAGAATCCTAGAACATGGAACCTAGCAAAGGAAGACCATATGAATGAACGATTGATTGACCAGGATTGAGCAGCATTGAAATCCTATAACAATTTGCCCCATATATCCTCAATCAAGTCGATCACTTCAAATAGACAGACGAAATTCGAATCACCGACCACTTTTTCAAAGATACTGGTCTCCAAATTCAAATATGCAACAAGTCATTTAATTGACTCAACTTGAAACTTCGTGCATAGTCTGCGATGTGTTGAAGACGTTGTGCTGATGAGAGGGTCCAAACAATCGACGAATCGTTCCACTCACAAACAACAATCTCATGTGCCTCATAGAGATTTCCGAATTCTCGTTCAACTGATCACATCTCGAATTCACCTGCCAGCACTATTCAATCTGCAGTAACAAGTTGACTGCAATCACACGCATCACATTGTAACTCATTCTAAATATTTTTGATCACTACTATTGCTATTATCACTGTCATTACCCTTATTATTCTACAAACTGTTTGATTAATGGAACATACTCACCAATTTCAATACACACACTTCATTTAGGACTCACCACACCGCAACAACAGCAGCTGCAAAAATAACTGCAAGGTAAGTAAAATGCATTCATCATCACATGTATCACAAATATGACAGTCTTCTATTTCCATTCACAACAATAAACATTACTAAGTAATCAGTGTAGTTGAATCAATAAGAATTATCATGTCACACATTTTACACGATGAATACGATGAATCCACGAACTGGAAACGTTCAATTGACAACTATATGTATTAATCACCAAGGGCTCGGTGTGAAACTATCACCAGTTCACTTTATCTGCGAACGAGAACAAAGACTCGTCGACCAAAGTCCAGTAAGCTAGCTATTTATTGTGTCCCAGCCCTGCTAACTAGAGGAAGAATTGCAAGCTTGGCATGGGGAAGTATATTCTGCAAACAGCCAGAAACGAGCGATAACAACAAACACGATTCAAAACGTATGTATACAGTACGAAATCATCCTTGGGGAGAGTTACCAAATAGCATGCCAAACGACGCAACTGACGAATAGCAGTTAAGATATTTCCCAGTGGGAAATATGATATGAAGGTGACAAGTGCACTTTTGGCGCGAAAACAAGGAAATCCAAATTTTCCAAATGAAATTACAAAATTAGGTCGTTTAGCAAGTTAGTTCTGGGGATCTACGTCCCAAACACCAAGGTCCTCATGTCTGACAAACGAACACATTGCGGAATATTGTTGTTAGATTTTAACAGAACGAGTGTTGATTATCAGATACCTGGAAACTGACACACATACAGACAAACAAACAAAATTAGTCCACACTACACCATCATTCATCATCAACAATCTAACACAATTCACAATGATGTTCATTCACTTGATTCATAAGTGGTCAAGTCGTCAATTCCTCAGACGACTCTATACAACACATATTAATACTATGAATGCATAACATGCAGACCATTATTTTCATGAAGTATTACGCGTTTTCGTTTAGGCATCACCCTGTAACCACAACTCCAAGGTAAGTACACAGTTCTACATGTAATAACATGATGGTTTACTGTTCCATTTCTACTCAAACAACCACCAATCAAACAATGTGGTTACATGAACAATAATTGATATGTTGAGAATAAGATATTGGTGATTCAGAACTAGCTGTTCGAATTGTAACTGTGTTCAATAAACCATAAGAATTTGCAATTCTGAACATCACACAGATAAGAGGTGATGTGTCAATGAGTGATGTGTCAGTGAATCAGTGTCACTTAACAGTCAACTATCAACAATGAACATAATTTTGATTGAGTTTTGTTCTCTGAGCAGGATAGTTTGGCTGTGTAGCTATCAACGTTCTTCTGAACGACGTGATCAGTACAAAATCCGAACACTTCATTTCCAGCTGACGTTTGTGTAGATGATGTCGATCAGCAGAACGACGAGGCTTCACGACTAAACCATCCAGCTCAGAGAACAAAACTCCATCAAAATCATTCACCTGACCTACAAATCTTCTCCACCATCACAATGAGCACAATTTCATTCATGCATTCATTTAATTCGTCTCGGAATAACTAGCTAACTAACTAACTAACTTCATTCACACAGACAGACGTGTCATTTCGATTGATGATTAGAGTTTGTCACATCAATACCTCTTGATTCTCACTAAACTGGCTAAGTTACGACGTCATCAAACCACTGATTGATTGGTGTGAATGTGAGAATTTTCTCAACTATCTCTTATCACTAGCATGTACCTGTGTTTCAATCACCAATGTAATCAATCCAATATCAGGAACGGATTTCCTCAACATTATCATTCCGATTCAACCATCTGACAAAATCCACAATCACCTACAATCACCCTATTCTATAGTATTTGCCACATCAAAAATTCCTACATCTTTATCGTCCTATCTATACTAACATCGTGAATACAAAACATCACACTGATTCCCAACATTCAATCGACTATTGTAGAAATCATCTCAATTTCCAACAACTAAATAATATTCTAAGATGTCGAATAGGTGGTTGCAACCACATTTTGTGGTTTATTTTTGCAACAACATTTGATCGTTACTCATTGAGTTGTTCACATTGAACACTGTGTTTTTAATATTCACTTATTTGTTGTCCCTGTCACATGTTGAACCATCATTTTTCTGAATTTTAACACATTTCATTCAGACATCACACTACGCCGAAAACTGCACAGTGAGTAGTTCATATTTACCTGTATTTATTTACACAAACACAACCAGGGTCGACGTTCTTATAGACAGTAGAATGTCGATCAGTCAGTGTGCTTCACTTGTTCGCCGTGCTTTCGTCGTTGTAATGTTGTATTGTGAAAGAGATATTTGTCAATTGGACATGCTCACAGTTCAACCAAACGTACAATTGAACGTACATGAGGACGGTCTCGTAGCCATTAAACATACAAGTGGAAGCTGATGTGAAACATATGCTAAATAGTGCTTCTGAGATTTCCACCATTCACATTACTACTACTGACATTGGATCACGACTGAATTCAACATGTGCACGAATTATAACATTGTTGAACATGTAACACAACAGTACTAGTGATAGTGTATGCATCCAAGTTGCATTAGGCATGAGTAGGAAATGAGCTGGATAGTATTAGATATCATTTCGCATCATTCACCTCAAACCATCTCACACAATTCAGAGTGAATTTCCGGTCAAATCATTCATCCGTCACATCACAACTATTTCCATTGATAACACTGTTTTAATTGTGGTGAATTCACCATAGGATAGCATGAAATATTTCACGTTCACTGCTTACTCGTTCATTTCAGACACACTGCTCATCCCATACGAAAAACGTAAGCATTTCTAAATAACTTGTATGTGATATTTAGGTAGAATCTGTATTGACAGTTGTATATGTTTGGTCCACTCAATGTAACATCCCAGCTGATTGATTCCATTGTCCTCTCAATTCCACATATGTAATGTGTATGTGACAATTACTAATGATTTTCGTAGAATAACATGAGTTCATTCCACTGAATCATGTTATTTTCACCTGGTTACAATCCACATAGTGTCAATAGAAGATATGACACAAAAATCAGCACACACATATTCAAGTGAAATTGATCAAATGTGAATACAATTGAGTTTGCGTTGGAGCATTGTTTGTGATCAAGTGAATGTAGTTGAGAAATATAATAATGCTCCGAAATGAATTTAACGTGTGACAAAGAATCCTAGAACATGGAACCTAGCAAAGGAAGACCATATAAATGAACGATTGATTGACCAGGATTGAGCAGCATTGAAATCCTATAACAATTTGCCCCATATATCCTCAATCAAGTCGATCACTTCAAATAGACAGACGAAATTCGAATCACCGACCACTTTTTCAAAGATACTGGTCTCCAAATTCAAATATGCAACAAGTCATTTAATTGACTCAACTTGAAACTTCGTGCATAGTCTGCGATGTGTTGAAGACGTTGTGTTGATGAGAGGGTTCAAACAATCGACGAATCGTTCCACTCACAAACAACAATCTCATGTGCCTCATAGAGATTTCCGAATTCTCGTTCAACTGATCACATCTCGAATTCACCTGCCAGCACTATTCAATCTGCAGTAACAAGTTGACTGCAATCACACGCATCACATTGTAACTCATGCTAAATATTTTTGATCACTACTATTGCTATTATCACTGTCATTACCCTTATTATTCTACAAACTGTTTGATTAATGGAACATACTCACCAATTTCAATACACACACTTCATTTAGGACTCACCACACCGCAACAACAGCAGCTGCAAAAATAACTGCAAGGTAAGTAAAATGCATTCATCATCACATGTATCACAAATATGACAGTCTTCTATTTCCATTCACAACAATAAACATTACTAAGTAATCAGTGTAGTTGAATCAATAAGAATTATCATGTCACACATTTTACACGATGAATACGATGAATCCACGAACTGGAAACGTTCAATTCACAACTATATGTATTAATCACCAAGGGCTCGGTGTGAAACTATCACCAGTTCACTTTATCTGCGAACGAGAACAAAGACTCGTCGACCAAAGTCCAGTAAGCTAGCTATTTATTGTGTCCCAGCCCTGCTAACTAGAGGAAGAATTGCAAGCTTGGCATGGGGAAGTATATTCTGCAAACAGCCAGAAACGAGCGATAACAACAAACACGATTCAAAACGTATGTATACAGTACGAAATCATCCTTGGGGAGAGTTACCAAATAGCATGCCAAACGACGCAACTGACGAATAGCAGTTAAGATATTTCCCAGTGGGAAATATGATATGAAGGTGACAAGTGCACTTTTGGCGCGAAAACAAGGAAATTCAAATTTTCCAAATGAAATTACAAAATTAGGTCGTTTAGCAAGTTAGTTCTGGGGATCTACGTCCCAAACACCAAGGTCCTCATGTCTGACAAACGAACACATTGCGGAATATTGTTGTTAGATTTTAACAGAACTAGTGTTGATTATCAGATACCTGGAAACTGACACATACAGACAAACAAACAAAATTAGTCCACACTACACCATCATTCATCATCAACAATCTAACACAATTCACAATGATGTTCATTCACTTGATTCATAAGTGGTCAAGTCGTCAATTCCTCAGACGACTCTATACAACACATATTAATACTATGAATGCATAACATGCAGACCATTATTTTCATGAAGTATTACGCGTTTTCGTTTAGGCATCACCCTGTAACCACAACTCCAAGGTAAGTACACAGTTCTACATGTAATAACATGATGGTTTACTGTTCCATTTCTACTCAAACAACCACCAATCAAACAATGTGGTTACATGAACAATAATTGATATGTTGAGAATAAGATATTGGTGATGCAGAACTAGCTATTCGAATTGTAACTGTGTTCAATAAACCATAAGAATTTGCAATTCTGAATATCACACAGATAAGAGGTGATGTGTCAATGAGTGATGTGTCAGTGAATCAGTGTCACTTAACAGTCAACTATCAACAATGATTATAATGTTGTTCACGCATTTATTTAATTTATCTCCCTTTATCAAATATGCTATACACTAAGCGACTCTCATGACATCTCTATTTTAGTTTTTTCTGGATATTTCCATTGAGTATCGTTGTACTATAATGACTTTATTTCTGTTAATATATGTATTCATTTGTTTGAAATTTCAATCATTTGACTTTCTGTCATTGACGGGATATAGTTATAGTTATACATCATTGGCTATCTTTTAGATGTGTTCTTATCCAATTTGACTAATTTACTACTTGTATTCACAAAGGTCATTCTGTTAACCTTATGAATAAACCGTATGATATTCTTATCTCGTCGACTCATCACAGAATGATGTGTTTTGTTTATCTTTTAGAACATTTAGGGCCCATTATTTATGATTGATAACCAATCAACAATTAATCGTAATCTATGCAACTCTTTGATTCCCCTTCATCATTTTTTGGTATATTTCAATATGTATTTTGAGTTGCTTGGTCACATTAATACATGATGATGATAATATCGATAGGATTTAGTTAACAGTCGTTATGTGGATAGTGAATAATGCTACATAATTCTGCATGATTGTCATAGTTATTATCACATTCGTTTTAGCCATACTACTAAAGTCGTACAAAAGAAGTAAGTGTTATTAATTAAATAACGTGTAAACAGTAGGCATGCATTTAGTTGATTGTCTATACTACCACATGACCTAATTGTATGTAAATTCAAATTTTCTCAAGTTTGTCTCAATTAGCTCAACTGTAATATCTGTAAATTCACTATTGGGTGATGAAGGTGAGAATTTCTGTCAAGATATCAGTCGAGTTTAGTTCGTAAACATACTTCGTCATCAACCATGATGGTGGAGACTAGTTGTCTGAGTTGGATGGTTGAGTTGTAAAACTTTGATTGTTTTTCGGAAAAATATCAGAATAAATTTATGGTAAATTTAGGTCATTGAAATTTTGAAATTCCATCAAAACCATTCACTTGAGCTACAAATATTCTCCATCACTTCAGCGTTATGTATAGATTCATGTAAACTCATCAATCAACTTCATTGATCTAAAGTAGTTTATAAAGATATTGAAACACGGTTTGTCGCGATCATGTTTCAGTTCTAACAATCAATGTTACTTTGTCGTCCTTACTGAATGAGGTGAAATTATATAATACATGATTGTTTTGTAGGGGGGGGTAGTACGTATGAAGTTTCATATTGTTATATCGAGAGGTTAGATTCTTGATATGCCGCGTACAACTCGAGCAGTCGAACGTTTGAACCCTCGACGTCGCAAACAAGAAGACAGAAGACAAGTGAAAGGAATGCTATGATACAAAATTATCATTATAGTCATCCAATCTGCATAGAAGGAGTCCTGGCATTTGTCCAACAGCGAAGCTACACGTAGAGATATTCTTCTAAAAGATGATGGGATGGAATATCTTTAACTATATCTCTCTGAGTATTTTATAGCTTCCTCGTGTTCACCCCTGAGCGATCCTCACACATGTATATTCATCAGTATCTTTAATCAGTCCCTTTTTTTATCGTTAGTATTTGTTAATGATAGATCCCATTTAGTTTACTATTCAAAATCAGCGACCACTTTATGAATTCTTCATTTGATCATGGCGCCTATTTAGAATAACCTGCACCATCTGAGTTTAACTCATGATAAATACCATCTGTAAATTAAACTAATACCTACCAGTCCCTTCCACCAATACTCATATACATATATATATAATTCAATATGTGCAGTATGAATATAAATCCATTTCTTTCTTTAAGATGTTTAAATAAAATGAAACCACAGGAGTAAGTAGAATAAATTGATTGATAAATTATGTATCAAAATTTTTATTGAAGAAAATCAATAAAGGGAAACATAATACCTAATTTACTTTATATGTATAGGTGACATTTAATTTGAAATCTCTTTATCAATTTTTAGCTTATGAATTCATTATATTCACCTTTAATTATCTAACATAATTGAATAGGGATATTCAATCATTTGATATGGTGACAATCTATTGACTTCTTTTATTGTTAGACGAATCGATTTGATTCTTTTCATTTATGAACCTTCGTATGAATGTGTAGCGTGGTGTCTAGTCGCGGTTGACTATGATCACCAATACAAGAAGATTACGTGTCAGTTAACCAATAAGATCCCTCATAGGCCAATATCAGAAGTCAGATGATGGCTGTAGTCGAGATGGTATCGAAAGAATACCGAGATTGTGACAAAGAGTACAAGCGGATTCACTGAGCAAACATAAGTGTGTACAAGGTCACAATCATCAGAAGAAAGAATATCTTTGGTACAGTTAAGCAAACAAGTACAGTAAAATAATCACTGGTACAATTGGTTATAATAGTAATTGTTTCCATTACACCAGTCGCGTTCTGTTTATAAAAGTATGTCACTACAAATGTATAAATATCTTCAGTCACTTGTATCGATTGTTTGAATCGTTAAAATGATGTTTAAGACTGTCTATTTATCAGTTATATTCTTGGTATATGTTCAATTCATACGAATTGTCTCGATATTGTCATTCTGTCAGGAGTATTATAAACAGAAATAGGTGGTGGCTAACAGTAGAATCTAATGACGCAGGTTTCGTCCCATTTCGGACTCGTCAGCTGGATATACATGTATTAAACTGTTTAACTTCAAATACAATGAATAAATAATGTTGATTTCATTATACTTTATTAAATTAAGTAGATTTCTCTGCATCACTACGGTATTGGTATGATGCAACTTTAAAAACAAAAACAGAAGTTAGAAGAGCTTCCTATGTGATGAGATTACAAAGTGACGCGAATGAGAAGTTTTGTCTCGAATAATCATTAAAACCAGAACCAAACCTATATCCATGGCATATAACCGATAGTCAACAATCTCTCAATATCAGTTGAATCGAACTGAAATATGAAGTCATTCAGTCTAATCGACACAGCTCAAATCCATCGGTGGCGTTTGAGTAGCATTCATTTTGTTAATTATTAAGCCACATCATTTATTTATTAGTGACCAAACAGCGTAGAAACAATTTCAAATGATTGTTGTTTTATCATCATATTGTGAGAGAGAACAAACCAGCTTTCAGCTAAAGAGAAAATTAGATAAAAACATTTAAAGTGGATAGGATGTACATTAAGGAAATCATCAAACTACATCACGAGGCAAGCGCTAACTTAGAATCCTGAAGAATAGAGGAAAAGAGAAAGGCAGAAGAACACACTAAGTTGGGAAATCGAAGCAGATATGAAAAGGATAAATAGCACAGGGTTGAATGGAGAGTGATAGTGGACAGCCTATGTTTCTCTACGAGGGGTAACAGGCGTAAGTAATCACATGAAAGATTCATCTTAGTAAAAGATTCAAATTTCCATTACATTTCAGCTTGATGAGCTTATTATTTGGCTTGATTCCTCGAATGTAAGTCAAATGATTTCCTTTGTGTAAATAATATATTTATTTCATACATTTTTGTGATCTGAAGTTAAATGGGTCTCATATATTTTGAATATGATAATAATTCAACTGATCTCATTGAAAAAAACTCAACCGCATTGAATAGCTGTGGTTTTCAAAATTAGAGAATGCAAAACACTCCAAAACTGAGATCTTTAGGAAGATGGATAGTTAATAGTAGTGGAATTCATGACGCGCATTTTGTCCTATTTGGGACTCATCAGCTGGATGTACCTGCATCTCAGGTTTGATGTTCATTCTAGGACAATGAGAAGATATAAGCGAAAAACACCATGTGAATGTAAATGTTAGTTTTATTGTTAAGGTTTAAATTTCCCCATTGGTGATACTATTAACTGTAATCAATCAGTCTCTTTTGTTAAACATGCACATACTAAATGGAATGCATTGATATTGACTTTAATTATAAGTCTTTAGTATACTTGTACTGTATCGACGACTGAAATCCAGGACATGCGTTGAATTCTATTTCAGAATGGTTAGCTAGTACCTCACTATGCCAGTGTTCATATTCACAACCAAATTTGAATTTGTTACCCGTCGCCTTAAACAACAATTCTTTATTCCCTAAATTACTGAATGTTAATCGCTATGTAATTGTTCAGTGGGATATAAATTCATACATACTAGTCTTAAATAAAAAACAGAAACAACTAGATTTCTCTATATGAGGCTGTAGAGATTGTTAGGTTTTTGATTTAGATCATGAATCGATTGATGTTACTGAGGAGCCCCATTCTAGGTCAAAGCGGCCGTCCAGTGCTTCCAGGTTTTCAATGGTGGTCTAATATCAATCGATTCATGATCTCAATCAAAAACTAGATTTCTAATAAAATTTCCCTTTTGATGAACAAGTTGTTGAAAATCCATTTTTTACAGTTAATTCTTTATTAACATCCTCGTACGTCCTAGAAGTGAATCAGGAAGCAGCGCTTCTATATAAGCGGCAAAGCTATGCTGTACAGTAAACATTGTTACCTAAGAAGTGACCTTGAAGTTAACCAATGAAAGATAGTTATTCACAGTATAGCTTTTGCAAAAGAGTTATATAATGTAGAAGAATAATAAAACTATTGTGGATTAAAAGTTTTTACACAACTGTGACTAACTTTCGATTAATTATGCTGTAAGTTATAATATTGTAACGTGAATCAACTCCAAGTTTTATTACTGATTCTAGCAAAAGCTGGTTACTAATCGTAAGCTCGTAAACTCTAGCTCCTAATCGTAAAAGTTTATTTCACAAAAAACGTCAGTAACCAATTCTTTCCAAATGAGAAATATGATTTCTAAAGACAAGTCATCTTCAGGAACATCTTAAAAGTGTGTTAATATATAACATCGGTTAGCTTGATCGATCAAAGAACAACCCCTAAAGTGATAATTACAATGTGCTCACTAGTGACTAGCTTTGTGAGAAAATTCTCGGAGTTCTAGTGAGAAGTCGTGACCAGTGGAGCTAATCCGTGTCGGGTAGAAACAGGTGTCTACCTCAGTACAACGGAAGATGGTTGTGCAACTTCGTGGATTGGTTGAGGTTAGACATTAACACCGTTGGATGCCGGCTCAGTGGTTCATAAGGTTAAGCGTTCGTGCGCGAGACTGAAGGGCCTGGGTTCCAATCCCGCGAGTAGGATCGTGGATGCGTACAGCTGTTGAGTCCCACAATAGGACGAAACGGCCATCCAATGCTTCCAGGTTTTCAATGGTGGTCTAACATCAATCGGTTCATGATCTTAATAAAAAAACTTGACAATCTCCACAACCCCTAAACTGATAATAAGTATAGCATAGTTCTACTGAAAGGCCAATAAAATTATAGTGAAACAATAGTTTTGACATGATTAATTAGCTTTTAATTGTTCAATTATTCTTAATAGGAAAGGTAAAAACATTAGGTTTACACATAAGAGAAGTTGGGCTGGTATTGTCCGTTATGATTGTAACCCTATTGTGTTCTCGTCACTACAAATTTACTATGGTGCTAAATAGTAAGAAATAAGCATATTTTCCCTAATTAATGTATGATTATAAACCTCCTATATACGGGATAGAAAATTGAAATGCCCCCTCCTTCCAGCTAAATAAGTTGATGAAACCTAGCAAGCCCTTCTGGGGAGAAATAGGCCACAACTAGGCGGGCTAGAATAGCTATTTTTGCAAGCAGTTGGAGTTTGCCCCATAATGAGCAACCCTGTACATTACATGCATCACTTTTGTCAGTTTTTTTTGTCGTTTTTCCATCTAAGAGTAATTGTGCTGTGTTTCTTTGTGGAGTTCGTAATCGGTTTGAGGGTAACGATCGAGTGAATGATTAGCCCAATTTCTACCATCCGGGTTACCACTCACGTTAGTTCATAGGTCATCCAACCCACTATCCAGGAGTCACGACGCAGACGTGTGAGCTGGATTTTGCCTCGCAAAAGTGAAATGATAGAAATGTAAAGTAATTGATAGTCTTGTTATTAAATACAATATTTATGAGATGTATTGTATGTTTATGTATTTACCTTAGAAAAACAATTGAATTCATAGAAAACGAGTACGTGATTTAAAAATAAATAAATATACATTTTACGCATAATAAAATTGTTATCATTCCTTGATATTACAACAATTATTGGAAAATTAAAGGCATCTAACTGATGGCCGATTCGTCCTAATGTAGGATTCTTCAGTAGTGCGTATTTGATGAAAACTGTTGAATTTCCATAGTCTATATTATCAGCTAATCTAAAATCGTAAAGGATTGGACAATTATTACTCCTTAGTATAAGACTCCTCTGTAGTATGCATCCATGACTCAAACCAATAACCTCAAGTTTAATACTTCTTGAATATCTTCAGTTCTCAGATTGATATAAACTATAAAAAATTCAGCAATCTTCATAAAGTGTATATACAAATAGTAATCTTGTGCTCGTTAGTGACTAACTTTAAGAATGTAGTTCCAGTAAGTGATCGAGTATGAAACAGTTATCCACTACAGACAATGAACATTCATAGTGACAACTATATCTCTAATCATCTCTATTGTTAGATTTTAAAAGTAACAAGTGATTTCTTTTTCTTTTTTAGAAATCTTCAAAAGCTTACACATCTTATCCAGGAAATATTCAAGCAATAAATGGACGTAAAACACTCTTTTTCAACGAAAATATCAGTTAATATCGAAATCTTCTAAAAGCATTATCACTTCATCATTCAATAATTTGTTTTGGATAATGCTAATGATAATAATAATAATAATGCTTCATAATATTTAAACTGTTGTTCTGTTTTATAACCAGTTGATTAACAATTAACATGACTCAATTATCTGCATAGAAATAACCAGTTAGTATCGTTTTAGCTTGAAACAAAGTGAATTAGGCTACTCTGTTTTTATAACTTATGCCACCGACTGTATTTAGATAAGTCATTTATGATCTATGATCTGCCAATATAATCACAATTGATAGAAAAGATTCAGAAGATGTACAAACCTTTACATATTTGGGCAGAATCATTATTGAACACGGTGGATCTGATGCAGATGTGAAGGCACGTATCAACAAAGCAAGAGCAGCATATCTACAATTAAAGAACATCTGGAAATTAAAACAACTGTCTGTCAACCAACACCAAAATCAGAATTTTCAGTACAAATGTCAAAACAGTTCTACTGTATAGGGCGGAAAGTTGGAGAACTACGAAAACCATCATCCACAAGATACAAGTGTTTATTAACAGTTGTCTATGCAAAATACTCCTGATCTGTTGGTCAGACACTATCAGCAACAACCTACTATGGGAGAGAACAAACCAGATTCCAGCGGAGGAAGAAATGCTGGAAGTGGATAGGACACACATTGAGGAGAGCACCCAACTGCGTCACAAAGCAAGCCCCCACATGGAATCTTCAAGGCCAAGAGAAAGGAGGAAGACAAAAGAACAAATTACACCGGGAAATGGAGATAGACATGAGAAAAATGAACAAGAATTGGATAGAACTAGAAAAGAAGGCCCAGGACAGAGTGGGTTGGAGAATGTTGGTCGGCGGCCTATGCTCGATTGGGAGTAACAGGTGTAAGTTATGGAAAACCCCATTGGGCGAAACAGCTTCTTCGTCTTAGCATGGAGCCTTTCATCTGTAACCTTTTTGTCCTGTAATATGAGTTAGATAACCTCAAATGAACACAGTTTTCTTATAACTTAATTTATCACTGAAAAACTGATCTGTTTTTATTTATCACTTTGTTACACGTTAATAGGGTAAGATAAAAGCGAGATTATCAAGAAGAAATTGCTCTGTATGATAAACATTCAAAATGTGATTCCAATCCATTTGTATAATTAATAGACTGGTTGAAGTTAGACATTAACATCATTAGATAACCGGCCGGATCAGTGGTCTAGAGGTTAAGCGTACGCACGCGAGATCGATAGGTCCTGGGTTCGAATATAGCTAGGCGGAGTCGTGGATGCGCACTGTTGAGGAGTCCCATGCTCGGATGAAACGACCATTCAATGCTTCCATGTTGGTCTAGCTTCAATTGACTCTTGAATTTAATTATTAAATTAATAAAGACTTTATCGACTATTCAGTATCATTTGGCATATAAATCAATAAATAGTGTTCCGATGCGTCATTATTTGTAATACTAAATGATACATATTCAAGTCTAACCAAACAGTGTTTCATTCTCAGAATTTACGACAGTTGTCCTACATAATTAACCTAAATGAAATACGGTAACCGATACTCACGAATGTCGTACAGTTGTTTCTCTTAAAACCAGTCAGACTGACCACTTACCAGTTTTACACAACTAGTATATGTTTTTCATGGGTTTCTCAGTATTAGAAATGGCTTATATTTTATCTTTCCGACGTTCTGTAATAGGTTCAGCATAGAACGACATTTGATGGTGTATTTTTTTGACATCGGTCAGTAACTGGTTCATACTCAACATAGTTGACATCTAATGATAACGGTTTCTTACTAAAATGCTTAGAATGACCTCTCAAAATCAGCACATGATCATTATCAGTGATGAGAACTATATAATGCGATAATCTCCACAAATTTTTTACACTCACAACTAATTCCTTGTCTATTTATCTTAATTTATATTTTAACCCATGTACCATTTTTTCCACTTAAGTAAACACCATCAAGATCTATCTGTGGTCATAAAAACTAACACCATTAACAATTACAATGAAAGACTATGAAACTATCGTTGTAATGAAGATGAAGGATTCATGAATAAAAGCTCTATAAGGTATAATTTAAATACAAACTGTCCTAGAATTTTGGAATATTATCATTTTTCGTTAAACAGAAAAAGGAGAGCAGAGACCTGGAAGCATTAGATGGTCGTTCCGTCCTGATGTGAAACTCCTCAGTAGTGCACATCAACGATCCGTGACACTGGAATCATGGAGGAGAATAAATTATTTTATTTAACCACTTTTATGTGCGTATATTAATTTGCCGGTTCATGTGAAGTCAGATATATAGGTCGTTCGACGTTTATTTTATCTAAAAGTATTCGAGAACATTACATCGTTTGGCTGAAAAGAGGTAGAAATTACTTAATAAAAAGTCCAATAATCGGGCAACATGTGAACACAGGTTATTCAATCAAAGCGGGTTCTATGTTCAAAGTCATCTACAAGGTGTGTAGAAAGCTGCCAAAGTTAGTTATATTCCGTCTTCGTACTAATGCTGAAGCACTAGATATACACCTTGGAAAACCAGAATTATGTGTCCAAAGGAAACTGATACAACCTCAGCCTCTACCATGGTCTTAATCTCTCGTAATTTTCTCGCTTCACAGCTATTCGGTTCCCTTCTATCTTCTCTACAGACCTTTTGCACTCAAGTGATTTGTTTTTTTTTTCTATGATTCTCCTGATTACAGTTGATCGCAATGTCGATATTTTATCTTATCACGCCGGGCTTTCCTTTACCAAGTATTAGTTCCCTATTTATCATCATATGTATCCGCGCCTTTGCAGTTTATTTTCAGACATGTCACAAAAAGTCTCTAACCACTGGTTAAAATAATCACGTGGAATTCCTATAGTACTACTTCATTACTCTATCATCTTTCCTAAAAGGATAGAATTTCTATGCTTACTTTTGATAGATTAAAACATCTAATATCTAAGGAATCCAACGCTATAGTAACACAGAAAACCATAGTTTCCCCCCATTGGTATGATGTCTTCAATAATGAGAGAATCTTATGCATTGGCTACTTTGAAGATAGATCCAGTTTGAATATTCTACAATGAATGCGGTCAACTGTCACTTTCTGTTTCAACATAAATATTGTAGAACATCGGTGATTGTGCTTAAGTTTTCGGACACGAACCAATACACTATGTGTAAGATCAAGAAAAAAAACGATCTGACTTCAATATAAATCGTATTTATGCACAATCTACAAGAATTCAAACCAGACTGTTATGTTTGAAACCTGGATTAAATCGTTCATTACATAACTTTGCCTGTCAAAATGCAGTTAACTACTTTTCTCATGCTTTAATATACTAATCTATTCAGACCTAAAATAGACACACAGTAAAGCTTCAATAACGACCATGTCAATAAGACATATTAATGAGTATATTAAGTTTGAAGTTTCACATTACAGATAGACTTTGATAGGACAATCATTTTATCATACTGTGGGACTGCTAAACAGTGTATTCACAACTCAACCGAGGATAGAACGCAGAATATCTAGATCATTGAGTTGTGGTTCAACGATTTATATTTCTAATTTCAATCAACTTATGATATTTTATAAGCATCATTCATTGCAATTAACGACATGTTATTTCACATATAACACAGTGAAACTCCACTGTTTACGACTCTTTACAAGAACTTTAAGAATTACTTCTCTATGTTTGTCATTAGTAACCACAAGATGATTGTTATTAGGTGACAGCAATGTAATCAAAAGTAGTAACCCCCTCATTATCACTGTTATATTTCACATGAAAATCTGATAACCAGAAAATAACATTCAAAAAAAAGAAAAACAAAACATCAACCGCATTGACTAAAATAGTAAGAAAACAAAGAGGATATTTGTTTATTAGATTCTGTTAAGTATATTGTGGGAACGAAGATTCTTCTTTCATGAAACCCTTGTGAATCAATCACAAAACATAAAGTATTACTACTCTATGAAGATTTACATTTTAGTATTCTTTTCATTATTTCTTGAATAATTTCATCACGATTTGATAGATCAATCTGAAAGTAAGAAAAAAGAATGTTTCTTCTCATTTTGGTAGTGGAAATGTGTCCCATTGATATTGTATTTGAACAAATACAAGTTATGTAAGTGAGACTATAATTTATGGACGATCTTCGAGAGACGTCGAAGTCATCTTGAGAGTAGACACCTACTAATTAAGACTAAATGAGAGTTTTAAAGCAAATAGAATTCTCATTTACAGTTGATAGTTAAGGTTAGGAATTCGATTTAGGGTTTTCCTCACGAACTGATATCAGCAATAATGCCAAAATTTGTGACTTGTTATCTTGTATCTGAATGGTTGACCCATAAACTAGTCTTGCCGTTACATATATAAAATTTGTAGTGTCGGTTATTATATTAAGCCTATATATAACTTATTCTAGCTTCTTGGACAGGCTAATTTACACATACTTCTTTAGTCACTTTTTAACCTTATTAATTAATCACTTATCAACCTTGACTGTTTATTATATGAGCGTATGTGTATGTGTATGTACACTTCATATTCTATTCATCATATGTCTGTAGCTTATTTTTGTGTGACTATAAATATCGATTAACGCTTGATTAAATAGAGTTGGCTTAAACGCCTTCTCCACTGAGTGTCATTTCGTTTCGCTTCACTCTTTTCTTAGTTTCATTCCTATGAATGTCAGTCCAGATTAGTGGGTGTACAAAATATACGTTTTCAAATATCCATTCTCGTGTTTGACTGACTTATTTAATTCCGTTATTCACTAACCCGGATTAAGTTGATAATTATTAACGAGGATAGACGATATGTATATTATTAATAACACTCATTCATATGATGTAACTGGAGTCAGATTCCAGGCCTGATATAGAGTTTGATGTAGACGCTTCCTCTATACGCGTGCCCAACCAGCTACTTGAGTGACAAAATCAATAGTTTATATCTGCTTCATCAGAAAGTTAAACTAAATCATGGTCAATAGTATGTACCTGACGGCATTCTTTCAATTACTGTTTGGTCTATTTGATAGATCTAGCGCATAAAAAACCCACATCGTCTATTCGCTTATTTGTTAAATAACATATAATCATTTCATTGAAATAAAAATCTAATCTACTGGCTAGTTTTCCAGCCTCTTGAAATTTGTATGTCAATAGTTCCATCTTATAATCAGCTATTAATCGGCCACACATTGTATCGTTAGGGATCATTTAATGATCATATAAATAACTCAAATCGTTTATCAGACTACAAAACTAATCGAAGTAACAAAATATCATATAAAACTCGATTCAATTCAATTTAATTAACTTGTGATGGCACAGACTGTAGAGAAGAAGAAAGTGGTACGGTGAGCAGAACCACCGCAAGAACGAATGCTTTAAAGAGGAGACGAGTGTGGTGTGGGTTACTTATTTCCACACAAGTAGTATATAACGGTTGTCAGGAATAGAATGTGTTTCAGTGGAAGATCGAGAGGGAAAGAATAGCAACGGAGAGCAATCGGTTGTTTTTACTTCTTAGTTGCAACTATACAGTCAAAAGTTCCATGTTAAATGCATTGAAATCATAAATATATACATATATCATTTAAATAGTATTTCTAACTTACCTCTATTATCGAAGCCTCCTTCATTGAACAGATATGATCAACCAACGGAATACCACGTGTACCATCTTGTCTTTTAGGTGATGGTACAGTAGCCAAAAGAATAACTGTAGGATGTTTTATATCACATTGATCATTTGTAGGTAAATTCGAAATTGATGAAATCAATTTTTCAATTAAATAAGTGAACTTTAATGAGCATAACTCCATTTTACCAATTTCATCAATGATACAAACTATTAGATTATTTTTTGTTATATTGTTAATGGATGAAACATTTTCCAAATTGTTTATAATAGACTGTTGATTATTATTATTGCCAATAAGGAAGATAGATCAAAAGAAAAAGAAAAAGGAAACTTTAAGTCTTTTTCACTAGATAAAATATTAATTATCTATTTATATTACATAATTTAAAATCATCTTGTTACAATGACCGTCATGAATTACCTCAATGAAATTAGCTGACCTGTAAACAAGGAATAGCCAAACTCTCAAACGATGATATATCTACTAGGTACTGACCAACACGAGGTTGACGTTGTACTTGTTGGCTTGAATGGTTATTTAGACGAGCTAATGAAGCTCTAGGATATGTTCGAGATGAATCGAATAGAACTATATCAAATCCATAACGAGTAGACTTTCCTGAATAGAACTGTCGAACTTCTTCTGTCTTAAAACCAACTGCATGTATTCCTAGTTTAAGAAGTTCTTCAAAGACATGAGAAACCAAAGTGGTTTTACCGATACCTGTCAAAAGATACAAATTTATTTACAACCAAATACATGTAAATAGAATAGGAAAATAAATATTCACATAACGCTGAATGAAAGTAGTCAGTAAGAAACAACGTAGAACTTCGTACGTACATACATCAGTTCGACTTGCCATAGCACGAAGATGCAGTTGTCGATTCAAATACTGTAGTGGTAGAGGTGGTAAGAGTATAAGCAGTAATCGGTACCCAATACGATTAAAGCATCAATAAATGACAGTTATCAATAATAATAAAGTAGAAAATACTTACAATTGTCAACAGTAAAAGATGACATGGAGTTTCTGTGGGAAAAGATATCTCAAATCTAAAACAAGTTTAGGTCGAAAAATATCATTATTTTACAAAGACACAAAATATCATAACAGTATTCTATAATTTATATTATTTCGAACTAATCCGTTTCCTCGGGAATACATTTGTATTTAATTGATATCTTTGATGCATTTTATCTAGTTAATTTACTATCCTACTACACCGGTGTGATATATGACAACTTAGGCTGACATACGTTCATTTTTCGTCTAATGTTATTTATGGCTGGCCACCAGTGAATGTAGAGTGATTATTTATTCCCTTGTGCATTCTAGTTTCTCTACATTCAATGTGTAAATTAACGTAAGTTTGAGGTTAAGAGTTTGTATCGGTGAATAATACCACGCCCAAACTAAGTAGTGTAATAGGAACTTAATACTCGTTTTCAAACGTATGATTTGTGCTGAACCAAACTATCAGAAAGCTACAGTGTGCACCTGCTGCTCATGAACTCTTTACTTAGTCAGCTGATTTATCTCGTTGTCACTTACGTCTGTTTTCAAACAATTAAGCTGCTACCTTAAGATCAGTACTAACTTTTGACTCATCCAAGGTTGATCTAAAGTTTAAAAGATAACAGGGTACAGAGCAATGGCTAGCTGGTCGTGTGTCATGAAATTCTGTAGAATTCATCCTTTTATGTTATAATTTTCAGGCTGAACAACAAATGAGATATTTGCCTAACAGTAACTACTGACAAAAAGATAACGAAATCAAACTAATGAAGTAGGTTTCATCCATTTATTTGGACACGAACTTTGGTACAAGGGGACACCAAACACATATGGGCTACACAATACCAATGAGATCGTGAAGAGAATGGATGGTGAGTGTAAAAAAAGAGTAACAATTAACAGAAGTTAGAGTATGAGAGTGAAACAATAATAATAATAATAATAATAATAATAATAATAATAATAATAATAATAATAATAATAATAATAATAATAATAATAATAATAATAATGGGAGAAGCAGTTTAGTTAGGAAAAATACAACCAGAAACGATTCTTTCTGTTAACGAAGTTACGCTCAGTTTTGTGAAGAACGTAAAAGAAAGTTACAGCAGGATCACCACTAGATTCTATTCCGAGTCATGCCTGATAGCATCTTAAACCACTGTGTTGTATTATCTCTAGGACCCCAACCAGGGAGTTGTGAAGGAACAACAAAAGCCAGTCCTGTACAGCTTTCTTTCATACCATGACACCATGTCATACACTAACCACTTCTCCGCTTTTTCCAACCAGTCCCAGCATCGGCGAATAGTGCACGACGTGCAATTCTCTGGGATGGTATTCGCAAGACACCGAAGTCTGTTTCAAGATGGTGTCGCCAATTGAATTATCATCGCTGTCTCCGAACACACGTTGCCAAACCTTTGCATTACTAACATGTTGGTGCCACTTAATTTCAGCAATCCTTCGGATACAACGGAGACAACACAAACAGTCATCTAACATCCTCAACTAAAAAAGGTCAGGTTTCAGAAGCATAGAGCAAAACTGCTCTCACCGACGCGTTGTAGATTTGACCTTTTATAACCAGACTAGCGTCACGAAAGCATCAAAGGTGGTCCAGATTGGTATAAGCCGCTCTGGTTTTCACTACACGTGAATTAATCCCATTAATCCCACCGTTAACGCCTACGCACCTACCCAGACACACGAACTCGACTACTTCCATCTGCTCACTACCCAGGGTGGGCGTAGGTCCAGGGTTCTCCAGTCTTGTAAAAGTGGACCAGTCGTCACCGACTATGGAGGTCAAGACAGTCTGACTAATGTCACTTGGGTATCAGACCAGTTCAAGTGCTCCCCAAAAAACTATGCTCATCGTCCAAGACGTCGACATATGTTATTGATTGACACCCCGTCAGCTTCACAGATTGTTTCATGAAGATAGATTAGCTTTATGAAACAAGATTATAACACGAAATTTCAAAAAAGATCGTTTTTATAACTGTGAACCAACCCACTAAAGTCATGATACATGAAAACGATTTCTAATAACACTAATTTTTAAAACCTTAAAGTGGTATGAAACTGAAAAGCGACAAAGTATAATACTGTAGTACCATATTCATTAAAAATCCCACGTCGAATCAGCCTAATTCATTTGACATTATCAGTGACAAAATTCAACATTTGAAATCTTGTTAAAGTAGCTAAGATTTAGTATTTATACTTCTAATAAGATCTCTGTGGAACAGTGATTTTTTTGGCTAAAGCACTTGATTCCCGACGACTGAATGATAGATTTGATCATTATTAGTCTTAAATCGAGTTAAAAAGCTGAGTAGAACTAATAACAATCACAGAAAAAAATGATTGAAGCATCAGCACATCAACCTGTATTTAGAAGCTGCGTTTTCAAAATAAACTGCACTTCTTACACATAGGTTTTAAGTAAAAAAAATGGAACCTCCACATATCTAAAACAAACATTGATTATTTATTATGTGCTTATATTAATTAGATAAACATGTTATATAAAGACAGAATTTCAAATACATGAAGCCCATTAAAGCAATTATCACACACCTGGCCTCCCTGTAATTAGCAGAATATTAGACGTTGACATACTTGTTGGAGTTGAATAACTTCAAGCTACTGGAAATGATTGTTTTGATTTAACTTGCACGTAACAGGTATCTCGTAAACTGAAAAATAAGAAGGCCATTACAATAGTCACGAAAATGTATAATATAACTCCAATAATGTATAAACAAACAGACTAGTTCATTTAGATAAATTTCGAACCGGGTAAAAATATTCAGCGTTATAAAAAGCCCACATAGATCAAGGTCTTATACACACCGTATAGGAAAATAAGAATATCTAAGGCCATATTGACACACTATGAAAATGAACAGATTCAATTAGTTCTGTCTGAAGAAGACATGTACTACTTCATGTAAGAGCTTATCATGACAGCCTAAACTAATCATATTTAAAGCTGATAAAAGAAAAAAGCTTGAACAAAATGACAGTAAGATATTTAACCAGAACATGAAGAGGAAATAAAATAGCTAAACCCCATTTTTTCACCAAGTTACTTTTTCCTCGTTTTTGACCAAGAGGGGGGTTGTTACGTAACTGGCATTTTTACAGTAAAGTCATAATACAGCGACAACTTCTAGGGAATTAATTTGTTAAAAATCTTCCCTACAACCATAAAATGAATTTAACATAGTGCGTAAGCCAAACCACAAGATGTACGTACTCGTGATGTAGATTCTAGGACATCGTAAAAGCTGACTAGACGTTTTACCAGTAACAGCTGTCACCATTACTGCCTGTTCTTCTTGTTTTTCTAATAGAGAAAGATTGGAAGTATTATATTATTATTTTAACACATAGGTATTGGTACTAGGAGGCACCAAATACAAACGCACCACACGAGGACTGTGATACTGCTCGGGTGCCCAAACCGAAGCAGGTGGTTTTCTTAGGGGGCCACACCCCGAGCCTTCGACCTGAACGTCTGACCCACAAGGCAGTGGAGCATCGTAAGGAGATGCAGTCCCATAGTAGCCGGTGACCAACGATTGGTTCATACGCCATTTCTTCCTTCAGGATACTGGAGCCCATGTGCACCATTGGTTTGGGATCCGGTTAAAGCGCCGGACATTCGCTTTTTGTCCTCTCATTTTCGTAAACAACACCCCCACCACGAGAAGGCAGTGAGTAGGACTTCCCTGGCAGAGGCTATATACGCGTGGCCATGTGAGAGCGTTTCGAGAAGGAGAGTGGACTCTCGCCACTCTCGGCCGTACCAGGGCATTTGGGGGCAAGGAAGTATTAACAGGTGATAACATTTTGTAGCCTTTATATTGTATTTTCTGTGATACCAACAGAAATACTCCTTGATTATTGGTATTTTGAACGGTCATTTATCTATTCAGTTTCGAGCCCCAGAACGGACTCTTCTAGCTACGGCAGATACTGGAAATTGTAATGACTCTAGCTTAGGTGGTAGAGCACATAATGTTGTTTTGTATCGACTTCGAGGTTTCTTTGTCTTTGCTGCTAGCGACGCAATGCTAAAACGTATTGGAGCATATTTTGCATAATTGGTAGATTGTATGTAAGACGTTAAGTCCAAAATCTTATAAGACATTCCGGCCAGATTCTTCAAGTCTAAAAGCTGGTCAGAAGCCTAAAAGATTCGACTTACAGTAGTTGGTAAGCATATTTATTTTAAAAAAGAACATCATCGATTTTGCGAAATCCAACTTTTTACTTCATCTGCTGAAACAACTTAACCCGTTCCCTATCTCGCACTGGTTCAGTGGATGTAGTTGTTTCCCATCTGATAAAGGTTTGTTGAATTATCTTTAACCTATCATTGGCATTCGCACTGGGAGATTGTTTATGAGATAAAACATATTTGCTATAACTTCTGTTGGTAGAATTTCCAACACCGAATATATATTTTGAGGTCCGTGAACGTATGTTGAGGGGAAGAAATTAGACTTCAACTCATGCAAACCATATACACAGGTTCCGTTTACTCAGTAGTGGTAAGTTCATCGAACTTTGCTTAGTTAATTGATCACTTGGTCTCATAGTGTTTATAAGTTTGATAAATATACTCCGTGCATGATCAGGTGAGCAAAAAATGTACCAGAGAAAAAACATGTCAAACGATCAGAATGTAAACCCAAAAACTAATTCGACAAAAGGACACGACCCAAAGGAATGATAAGAAATCTCAAAATGCATGATGAATTACTATATATATATATATATATATATATATATATATATATATATACATATAATGAAAGTACACATACTTTATTGTACATTACTTGAACGTTCCTTCATAGAATCAACACATGGAGTTCAAACAATTAATGACCACCCACACACTGTAGCTTGTATTAGAGAAAAGCTAGATGCACGACAATCATTAACTACCAATCTCACATTTCGTAGGTTTCAGCCTAGTTCTCGCAGGAATACCACATGAATGGATCAACATGATGACCACAATTGTATCACAGAAAACATGGCGACAAAGTCAGAAATTAGGTCACGTCCCGCAAAGTTTTTGAGTGACGAGACTCTAATTTAAGGACGTGCAAATCAGAAGCGTTTGAGCAATTTCAAGGTCACGGAGCCAAGTTCAACACCTGATGCTCACATACGATCGGTCTACAGGGGATCTTAGAGCAGAGGTGAATATTGAGAGGCTACAAGAGGTGAGACTACTAAGAAGTTCTTGTACCTGCGACTGCGGTTATCAAATGACTGCAATAAAATGTGCAGACCACCATGGTGAGGTTGTATTTCGTTGTTCTTCAAGTTGGAGGGAAAAGTCTGCTCGAACGGGGACTTTCTTCGCTCGATCGCGACTGAAACTGAAGCAGATCATGATAATAGTTACAAATTGGGTAATAAAGACACCAGTAACACTGGCTGCGGCGTTTGCAGATGTTACTGAAACTTCAGCTGCCCAGTGGTATGAATACTGCCGTGACATATGCGCAGCTAAAATGACAAGTATACACCAATCATTTGGAGGAGTAGGACGTATCGTAGAGATAGATGAAACGGTAGTGAGAAAGCGAAAATACAACAAGGGACGTAGTGTAAAGGAAGATTGGGTAAGTAGCATTTTCGTAAATATACTTAACAGGTACTTGGAATTTACGATAGATCAAGTCGAAAGGGACATTTCCAGAAGGTCACAAACCGTCAAGCAACCACAATAATACCAATCATACAGGAATACGTCCTGCCGGGTACTACGATATATACGGATGACTGGAGAGCGTATCGATGTCTTCATAGACTTGGATATGTTCACCACTTCGTAGTCCACAAACGTCATTTCGTTGACCCAACAACCGGCGTTCATACGAATAACATTGAAGCCATGTGGTCACGACTGAAGGAGTTTTAAGACCATATCACGGCTCCAGAGGTCGACTATTATGGAGCCATATGGATGAATTTTTATACCGTATGCAATATGATTTCAAAACATCTGAACCTTTATCCAATCTTAACAAGTTTTTAAATCATGTAAAAGACTCTAATTTAAGGACGAACCTTTAACGAATTTTAAATCACCTTGACAATTATTAGTCAGTCAGAAGGCAGTTAGTATAAAGAAAAAATATATTATAAGGAACTAACGAATTACAGTGGATATACTTCTTTACATGACTTAAAAACTTGTTAAGATTGGATAAAGGTTCAGATGTTTTGAAATCATATTGCATACGGTATAAAAATTCATCCATATGGCTCCATAATAGTCGACCTCTGGAGCCGTGATATGGTCTTAAAACTCCTTCAGTCGTGACCACATGGCTTCAATGTTATTCGTATGAACGCCGGTTGTTGGGTCAACGAAATGACGTTTGTGGACTACGAAGTGGTGAACATATCCAAGTCTATGAAGACATCGATACGCTCTCCAGTCATCCGTATATATCGTAGTACCCGGCAGGACGTATTCCTGTATGATTGGTATTATTGTGGTTGCTTGACGGTTTGTGACCTTCTGGAAATGTCCCTTTCGACTTGATCTATCGTAAATTCCAAGTACCTGTTAAGTATATTTACGAAAATGCTACTTACCCAATCTTCCTTTACACTACGTCCCTTGTTGTATTTTCGCTTTCTCACTACCGTTTCATCTATCTCTACGATACGTCCTACTCCTCCAAATGATTGGTGTATACTTGTCATTTTAGCTGCGCATATGTCACGGCAGTATTCATACCACTGGGCAGCTGAAGTTTCAGTAACATCTGCAAACGCCGCAGCCAGTGTTACTGGTGTCTTTATTACCCAATTTGTAACTATTATCATGATCTGCTTCAGTTTCAGTCGCGATCGAGCGAAGAAAGTCCCCGTTCGAGCAGACTTTTCCCTCCAACTTGAAGAACAACGAAATACAACCTCACCATGGTGGTCTGCACATTTTATTGCAGTCATTTGATAACCGCAGTCGCAGGTACAAGAACTTCTTAGTAGTCTCACCTCTTGTAGCCTCTCAATATTCACCTCTGCTCTAAGATCCCCTGTAGACCGATCGTATGTGAGCATCAGGTGTTGAACTTGGCCCCGTGACCTTGAAATTGCTCAAACGCTTCTGACTGGCTCGTCCTTAAATCTTTATCGCTAGAATATCCATTGTAATTCACATGTTTCTTATATTATATTTTCACTTTATACTGTCTTTTGATTGGCTGATAATTGTCAAAGTCATTTAAGATTCGTTCAAGGTTCGTTCTTTGTATTAGTCTCGCCAAGGGTACATTACCTAAGAGCTCTGCCGTGACTTCTGTGGGCAAACTCATTCAAGATGTAACAATGAGAAAAGTTAGTAATAATATACGGGAAATAAACGTTAACATTATAAACCGAAGTGATTGCATATGAATATAAAAGATAATAAATAGCGCTAAACAACAAAATGATAAAAACTGTTGAACTGAATTTATATAAATTTACGATCGATCATGGAAATACTCTGAACAGTACAGTAAAGTGCTTAAAAATAAGAGACGGGAGGGAACAGAAGACAGCACAAAGTAAACACGATTGAGACAGCACTGGCAACTGACGAGAATGTAACGACACTTCTAAATATGGCGCGTTCTCATTCGGTAAATACTTACTCATTTGAGAAGCGATGTAAACGGATCGATACCTAAAGGTTGTCTTCATAGTGTAATAATGTTAAATCAGATCTTAAATACAAACGGGTCTAGGGATAATGTGGAAACTAGGTGTTGTAAGTTTAGCCTGCTTGGTTTTGTACTGAATTCACAATCCGTTGATAAAATATACTCGAATCAATGAGACACTGCAGTGCTATCTACTGAAAAGGAAATTAAGACAGAAATATGCTGAATCTGACGACGTTATCAATAATTTCTAATGAACATGAAAAGTTTGACATATCGGCTCATACACCTAATTTAGCATCAACAGTTTTTTTCTGTAATGCCCACTGTATGCAGTATAATAATGCAATATGAGGTTCCAGGGATCACTGAAGGATTTGCTCTGAGGACAAAAAAGTTCTACGACGGTGATAACTGGAAAGTAAGTTTCATTTCAGTCAGTCACCTGATTGACTTCAAGTGATTAACAGTTAGATAAATGATGAACCGTTACCTTGGATTGTATATCTTATGTATAAATTGTATTTCTTCTTACATATTTCATCGTACTTATCTACATTTCAATCAATATTGATTTATCTTAATATGATTCAGTTAGAGGATTTTAGAACTTTAAGTATCGAGACTACTTACATTTAGTTACGCCTTAACTCTCAATCGAGCATAGGCCACCGACCAGCATTCTCCAACTCACTCTATCCTGGGCCTTCTTTTCTAGTTCCATCCAATTCTTGTTCATTTTTTTCATGTCTATCTCCATTTTCGGTGTAATGTGTTCTTTGGTCTTCCTCCTTTCTCTTGGCCTTGAAGATTCCATGTGAGGGCTTGTCTTGTGACGCAGTTGGGTGCTCTCCTCAATGTGTGTCCTATCCACTTCCAGCATTTCTTCCTGATTTCTTCCTCCGCTGGAATCTGGTTTGTTCTCTTCCACAGTAGGTTGTTGCTGATAGCGTCTGGTCAACGGATTCGAAGTATTTTGCATAGACAACTGTTGATAAACACTTGTTTCTTCTGGATGATGGCTTTCGTAGTTCTCCAGGTTTCTGTCCTATACAGTAGAATTGTCTTGATATTTGTATTGAAAATTCTGAATTTGGTGTTGGTTGATAGACAGTTGTTTTGAGTTCCAGATGTTCTTCAGTTGTAAATATGCTGCTCTTGCTTTTCCGATCCATGTCTTTACATCTGCATCAGATCCACCGTGTTCAATAATGATTCTGCCCAAATATGTAAAGGTTTTTACATCTTCCTAATCTTCTCTGTCAATTGTGATTGGATTGGTGTATTCTGTGTTGTATCGGCGGATCTTGCTTTTCCCTTTGTCTATATTGAGACATATTGCTGCTGAGGTTGCTACTACATTGACCATCTTCTGAATTTGTTGTTGTGTGTGAGATAGAAGAGCCAGATCATCTGCTAAGTCTAGATCATCCAAGTGCATCCTAACTGTCCACTGTATTGCGTGCTTCCCTTCAGATGTTGACGTCTTCATGATCCAGTCGATCACCAGGAATCACTATTCACTGAACCTTTTCCGTAATCTCACTGTCTTTTTTAATTAGGGGCTGGCCTCTTGGATGTAATACTAAAATTTATGACGCACGAATAATATGTGCTGAGTCATAAAGGCTTTAGAGTTGGCATGGCTAAAGACCCTACGTATTGACCATTGGGTTCTAAAACGTTTGGCGGCTATTGCACTGCGACGTGCAGTAGTTTTTATGTCATGGTTAACGATGGCTCATAAGCCATTGTGTGTCTGGACAACAGGTAGCTCAGTGTTATTAAGCATGTATGTATATGTACTTCGGTGACCGATATGCATCATGATGCACTGCTGAATTCTGGACCATTCGGAATTTTTCTACAGGTCATTTTGATGCTCTAAACTGTCACCCTTACTCTCTATATTTCTGAGTATCTTGACGTCTTTAGCACGTAACAAAACCGATGATGGTAGAAAATCAGGAAGATCATTTATATACGGGAGAAACGAAACGCCCCAAAATAGTACTCTGAGGTACCCCGTTAAATATAGGTCCCCAGCCAAGCAACTTGGAGTTTATGCGTACTCTCTGTTGGCGCTCAAGCGCAATATTACCTAAATTCAGTAACATCTGTTTGATATGAGCTTTGTCGAAAGCCTTACTGAAGTTGGTGAAGGCTTTATCTATAGGTAGCTTTTAGTCTTTAAGAGCTCATCATCTTTTAAGGGATACCAATAAGTTTGTGAGACGCGAATAACCTGTTTTAAAGCCGTAGTGCTTTTCAAAAAGAATCCGGTTATCTTCTAGTCACTTTATAATGTCTTTCGAATATTTTTCAGTCTTCAGTAATAAGGATAGTAGGTTGGTGGATCTGTGTTAATCCCGACAGCTTCTTCTTGAAACTATTCGCTGATGGGGCTGATACCACTTCTTCGGGCAGGGCGTTTCAGTCATTGACAGGACCCCACTTTAAGCTTATTAGATTGCGGCTTGTGAACCTCGGAGATTGTTTTTGGTGAAGAGAGACAAAGATAAGACATATTAACATCCAAATCATAATTAAAGGTATGAAATTCCAGTATAAGGTCATCTAGCGTCTTACGATACGACAAGAGGAAAAATTTAAGGCGTCTTAAGCACTCGTAGTAAGGGAATTTAGAAAGACCCTTTACTAATTTTGTTCCCACACGCTGAACACCTTCAAGTGAGTTAGTATCCTTTGTCAGGCATGAGCTAGCTGTTGGGATACAGTACTCTCAGTGTGGTCTTACACGAGTGGGATATAAAATTCGAAACATTTCCTCGTCAAAGCATTTGAATGTTCGGGGAAATGACCATAATGCATTAAAACCTTTGTCAGAGGCTGCGTTGCAGTGCGTAGTTGTTCTCAAGTCATGACCTATTATTATTCCTAAGTCTTTATGTTCTTGAACTCGTGGAAGAAATGTACCATCAATAGCATAATTGTAACTACTGAGGTGTTCGATGTGCGTTAGCACACTTCCTAGAATTAACTTCTAAGACCCAACCTCGAGCCCATCTAACTAATTCATCGAGGTCAACTTGGAAATTGAAATGTTCAGCCTTACTTTTAATTGTTCATCCGCAAACAATAATGTCGATGACTTAAGCAACAGGGGTAATTCATTAATGTAGAGAAAGAAAAGTAAGGGGCCTAAGATGGTGTCTTGGCGTACATCACTTTTGACTGTCTTCCGTTCGAATAGCGTTCCACTGACCCTCACTCTATCAACGGTCACTTAAGAAGTTTCCCATAAATTTCTGTACAGCACATATTATTCTGAAGCTAGAGAGCTTCTGCATAAGACCCGAATGTGAAACCTTGTCAAATGCTTTGTTAAAATTTATG